ACCTGGCTCCTCCCATGGGCTCCCTCGGACTGGTTTTTCCCAGACCTCATCCCAGCCTGGTTTCTCACTGGGGGCTCAGCCCCAGGACCCAGCTGGCTCCTCAGCCCCACATCAGCCACCATCACAATCTCTTCCTCCCTGTTTTAATTACCTGTTTAAAACCAGGTTGGTCATACACATCAAACTTGCACTGGGTGGGTGCAGTATTTTTAATAGGTCACTGTTCTCCTCTCATAGATGGTCTCACTCACATGAGGTTAAAGACACTAATTTAAAAAATGCAAAGCAGGTGCTGCAGAATGAGCCATAATCAGAAATAAGGCCATACAGAGTAAGGAGTTCTTCCAGACATTCCCCACTTACCAGAAAATTTCACCTGTGAGAAGCCTTTGAACACCTCTGCTCTGAATATTTCCCAAGTCTCTTTTGCCCCTGTGGTACGAGCCTTGCTGTCCCGTTTCCTCCAGGAATGCTTAACCCTCAGGCAGAGGCTCAGGGCGCCGGCACTTCGCAGCGCACACACGGCGCCAGCCCGCTGGTGGCCCCGTCAGGAAGCAGGAACTCACGTGCAACCTTGCAGCTCTCAGCTCAGCGTCCTCTGGCACGTTGCTCGGTGCCCAGCAGAACCCACCGGCGAGCAGTGGCTGCTCTTCCCACCTTTGTCACAGACCAGGTCCACACAGCAGCAGATGGGCACGCGACATGAGAAACCTGCCAGCAGCCTGTGACGCCAGCCCGATCGAGGAGCGAAATGCTTGTTTCGACCTGCAAACATGCAACGTCCACCCCAAGCTTGCCTGCCCTGCCACAGGAACGCGGGGTGGGAAGGGGCTCCCGGAGCACACGCAGGCAGGTCCTGGCTGCTCTGTGAATGATTCACAACGAACACTGGGAACTCAAAGGAAATGAAACATGTTTTATTTGAGGCTGGAATAAATTACAACTGTAAAGCATAATTTATTGCTTTATAAATCGTCTGCTCTTAAAAGGCATTAATACCAAACATAAACAAAACAAAGACACATTCGATTAGCAGGTCAGTTCTCAAGCTTCATGAACAGCTCAGTAGGGGGATTTCATTCTCCATACAATTGAAATCTCTGATCACAGGCTCATAAGCTTGACTTTGACATGCATTATCATCGTTCAGACATATTGAGGGGACTGTAGATGTAGTCATTTGCTTTAGGACGTAATTTTTATTGCAATATTCCCTAAAATATCCCATTCAATACCCAGTCCTTCATTCCTCACTCAAACACAAATCCTACTGGTTTCAAAAAATTTCTTTAAAACACGCGTGGGGTTTTCTATGCCTGCAGAAGGAGGGCTTCCAAATCAAAACCAGGAATTGGTCTGGTCCCAAAACTAAGTGGAAAAACAAACTCCTCCTAGGTTAAAAAAATGAAATCCCAAGCACAAAAAATGTTTTCTCCCGTTCTGGAGATTCTTGCAAAAAATCCCAACACTATCTGAACGAGTGGATGTGGATACTTCATATTTTTATTGTCTCCATGCTTGAGACTGGTAAAAATTTTGCTCAGCACCAGTACTCCTCTAGGATGCAGACTCAGGCCTGTCCAGGCTGCCCTGAGTGCTGGGGGATGAGAGGGTGCTCACTGGAGGCTCTGCGGTGTCCAGCCCCAAATGCGCAGACGCTGTGACATGACAAGCTGGATCTGGCTGGCTCCAGCTAGACACAGCAGGCAGAAGGAAGGCCAAAAAGCCACTTCCCCGGCCTCCCGGGGAGTCACAGCTCCTGGATGCCAGAAGGGGAATGAACATTGTGCTCCCCGTGCCTCGGCTCCAGAACAGTGTCTCCCTGAGCCACTCCCTGAGCGGGAGTGTCACCTCTGCTCCTGCTTTCCCAGCCAGGTCTGAGCAGCACAAAGGGAGCTCGCTGGCTTCTGCTCTGCGTTACACCAGAGGTAAAACTCTCCAGAACCGTCAATTAGCCCTTGGAAAAACTCAGAAAGTTCACACAGAAAATCTCCAGGGCAGCTTCTTTTCAGCCACAAAAATAGCTTTAAAAAGAATGAGCCACTGGTACAGCAAATCCTTCTAAACCTGGCTCAGTACTACTCAGAAGGCTCATGTTCAGAGAAACGCTTCTCATCTCAGCCTCTGACGTTCTTGTCATGCCTATAAGAACGTAAATAGCCGAGTGAGATGCTAGGGTATTTTACACCATGTTACTGAAGGGGAATGGGTAAGTGTTTCTCTGGATCCAAGAGATATATACCAAACTTCAAGGAAAATACTATTACATTGATTCTGGTGTGCTTTCAGTTTTCATTCAGATTTCATCAGTAACTTACATATCTTTCGTATATGCTATGCAGAATCTCATTTAAAAAACAGCAAAAAAAGCTTCCTTCTTCCAAACACGGTTTCCTCAGAAGACGTGTTTGCTGTGCCATGAGGGATGGCCAGCTTCGATCTCTGCGAGGCGGTGCGGCAGACTTCAGGCGTTGCACCTGCCCCTAACAGCGCCCAACAAGCCAAGCACCATGGCAGAGCCTTGGTAGGAGGCTGGGAGCGTGCAGGGAGCTGGAGCTGTGCCCAGCTGGGCCAACTGTTCAGCACTTTTCTGTGCCCTCCTCATTCAGGGACTGGACTACCCTGGTTTAGCTCCCAGCCACATGGCAAAGGGCTTAACGGAGGTCCAGGGGACACTGACGCCCCTTCCTCCACCTCAGCTCCTGCCTTGGGAGAGGCTTGTGGAAAGGTGGCTTTGGGGCTGTTTTGTGGTAGCAGAAGGACACACTGCAGCTGGGACATGGGCGTGCATACAGTGCGTGCCTGACTCGTCACCATCGTAGAGAAACATAACTCAGAAATGCACAAGCCTTTAAAATCATCAGTCATTTCATTTATGTTCACCAAGAATAGATTCTTGGCTGATTTCTTTTTTCCCCAGCAGTTCTGAATTTTTCTTTGAAGATGAGAAGGAGAAGAGTTAGCCTTCAGGGAGAGGGACAAGCAGAGACACTTGCAAATTAAAATGTGTGCACGTCACCTGCCGCAGCAGCGACCTCCAGCCTGCACTTTACAACACAACACCTTATTATCCTGAACCTTGATTTCTCATGCCTTTCAAAGATTCCCAAGAGCATTCCTTTCTGTGTCAGTGAGATGTCCCAGGGGACTGGACAGAGGAAACTAATGAGAGGAACAAGCTGTTGTCACCAGGACAAGTACAGGGCTACATTCAAGCCACAGACTCCAGAGGAGGAGCAGGACAGGGAGCAGACTTCTTCCATTTTCTGGTGCAAGTGCCACAGAGGATCTGTAAGAGCAGAAGACGAGCCCACAGCAAGAAGGAAGACGGGCTAATGGCTAGTGCACTGGACTGGGATTTGGCAGATGGGGTTAATTCACCTTCCCCTCGTTCTTGAAACAATCAGAAGAAGAAAATAGTTGATATGAACTTCAGGGTGCTCAAACATTCCCAGTTCAGGAGATACCCCCAAAATATTTGTCCTCTCTTAACAGTTCCCAACAGCGTACGCATTGGCCCTCCTCAGACTAAGCACACCAGACAGAAATCGTCTAAGGAACCACACTTCTTCTAGGGAAAAAAGAACCAACAAACTTCAGGATTGCTGTACCTCGGCTAAGGCTCGTTTACCCGTCTGCAAAGCCTCTCACCCCTCCTGATCTTCACTCCCGAGCCGCCCATTTGCAGTGCACTTGCAGTCAGATAGCAGATCAGGAGCTCTTAAATCTACGCCAAACTTTCTAATTCACTGGGTCTGGTCTCTGGCAAAGCACTCAGGCCAGCCCTGTCCTAGGGGTTTCTGTGTCAAGCACCTTCTGACTGACTGGGGAGCAGGCTCCTACTGAACTGAAAAGCAGAGGGGACAACCAGTGAGCGCAGGGGAAAGCAAAGCCATTAACTGGTGCCTTTGCTCATTGGGAGGGCAGTGCTCAGCCAGTCTACCAAAATATGGCAGGCATATTAATTAGTGGTTACAGAATGCTCTAACTTTTCAGAGACCTTTATAAGCGCTGAGCATTTTAACTGGCAGGATAGCCATGCCTGAGAATACAGTGTATTGTGAGAAACCACCATGTTCCTCTCCTACAGTACTTCCTATCACGAAGCATCTCACAGAACAAACCAGTGTCTATATTGTGATTTTGCCAGCGGAGGAACCGGGTCAGAGATGGACGCCGGCTGGAGCGGACCCGTGGAGCAGATGAACGACTTGAAGCAAAAACCGAGTCACTTGATGCAGGCCCTGGGCTCCACTCTCCCCTGCAGAGGTTACTGAACAGGGGACATAAATAATCGCCCAAAAGAATTGATGCATCATGAAGGGCAAAGAGCCTCTGAAGCTACATACAATGGCAGAAAGGACAGCACAAGTATATTACATATTCAGCTCTCTCCCGGCTTCTCTGTCGCGAGGGCAGTGGGTTGCTCGGAAAGCTGTCTTCTGCTCAGCCTGCTACGTTATTTCCCATGGAAATGCAGGTAGAGGTGTGTGTGCAATTCAGTAGTAGAACTGGGGTTTGGTTTTACATGGGCTGAAAGAATGTTTCTTATACCCAAATGAGATTTTTGCATGCATCCGCATACTCACCCAGATGCTGCCTCTGCCGTGCTCCATGCCTGAGTTTCATGCCAGGTTTGCTCTGCGCAGCAGGCATATCATACGCACACAGCGACCTGGTACAAGAGCACATTCTGCAGGCCAAGTCTCAGGCAAAAACTCACTTACAAAACCTAAGTTTTTTTGCAGTGAATCAGGCTTTCACTAGGAATTAACATAAGCTGCAACGACTAATCTTTTACTCTTTGCACTTGCTTATTTTTTTTTACAGTTCAACCACTTTCTTCCTTAATACTAAAACTTTAAAGTCTTACATAGCATTCAGAGCATTAATTTTTGCTGGCTGTGTTTCTCTATGCTCTAAGCCTCTATCACAATGCATGCAAAGGATAATGGCTGAATTTGTAATGCTTATAACTAAAAAAATACTTTTAAAAACATAAAACATAAATTATTTATTCCTCTTTGTCCATTGTTTTAAGCACTGAGTCTTCTCCCAAGATTTTACACAGTTCATTCAGTCTCTGCTGCATTTTAGGAATTCCTGCAAGTTGGGATTCCAGTCTCTGTTTTTCCTCACTCAATGATAAACGGATAGCGGTGTCCAGCTGCTCGAAACGCCAGCCGCCTTGTCCGTCAAACTGCAGCAAGTGAGTGTGGTACTTCCTGCAGCAGAAATTAAAACATTAGTAACGGCTCGGGGAACAGAGGGTTCGTTTTCGCACCCAAATTTGGAAGCCTGAAGTTGAGAGTCATCCAGTTACGGATCACCGGGCGA